GATGCCTTCTTGCTCCTTGTTACCTCAACCCCTAAGAAATACTTCAACATTCCTAAATCTTTTGTATGAAACTGAATGTGAAGAATGACTTAAGTAATGAAATCCTTGTAGTGTCACTCCCAGTGATGATAATGTTATCAACATATACAATAAGAAGAGTAATGCCAACTGCCAATTGTTTGTAAAAGACTGAGTGATCAAACTTGCTCTTTGTTATTCTGAACTTTGCAACTACCTCACTGAACTTTCCAAACCAAGCACGTGGACTCTGTTTCAAACCATACAACGATTTGCGAAGATGACAAACTTTCCCATACTCCCCCTGAGCAACAAATCCAGGTGGTTGCTCCATATAGACTTCTTCTTGAAGGTCACCATGTAAAAAGGTATTTTTGATGTCCAACTGATGTAATGCTAAGAATGAGTAGCCGCCATAGAGATAAATAAATGAACAGAAGTCAATTTAGCCACAGGGGAAAAAGTGTCAAAATAATCCACTCCATAAATTTGAGCATAGCCTTTAGCTACAAGACGAGCTTTAAGCCTAGCCACTAAGCCATCAGGATTTGCTTTAATAGCAAACACCCATTTGCATCCAATAGGCTTCTTTCTAGTAGGTAAGTCAACCAAGTTCCAAGTACCATTAACATCTAAAGCATTCATCTCTTCTATCATAGCATCACGCCAACCAGGATGAGATAAGACTTCATAAACAGTTGCAGGAAGGGAGACAGGGTCTAGTGATGCCACAAAAGAACAAGAAGACGATGATAGGTGCTCATAAGAAACAAATGAAGAGATAGGATAAGTGCACTGACGTTTACCTTTCCGAAGAGCAATAGGAAGATCAAGATCACTCAAGGTTGGATCCAACGACGAAGAGTCTTGGGTAGGACATGAAGTTTGAGTGTCTTTTTGACGAGGAACACATGTATCAGGATCACTAGAGACTGGTACATGAGATTCTTGTCGACAAGAATAAACAATGCGAAATGAAGGTAGTGGACGGACATGTGGTGGTGCCGGAGGAGGAACAGTAGGTGGGGAAGTCTCAGGTGTGGGAGTAGCCGATAAGGATATGACAGTATAGATTAGTAAGTCATCATCATCCCCCTGACGTGTATAGGTAGACGAAGTAGGAAAAAAAAGGGTGTTTTCTAAGAAAGTAACATCAGGTGACACCAAATATCTATTAAGACTAGGACAATAACATCAATATCCCTTCTGAAGGTGAGAGTAACCTAGAAAAACACATTTAAGAGATTTGGGATCTAACTTGGTTACCTGGGGTCGAACATCACGAACAAAACAAGTACTACCAAATATCTTTGGGGCAATAGGAAACAAAGGCCTAGACGGGAAGAGAATACTGTAAGGAGTAGAACCATTCAGAATAGAGGAAGGCATGCGGTTAATTAGAAAACAGGCTGTGGAAACTGCATCGGCCCAAAACTATTTAGGAACTTGCATTTGAAATAATAGGGCTCGAGCGGTTTCAAGAAGGTGCCTATTTTTCCTCTCGGCTACTCCATTTTGGGACGGTGTGTCAACACAAGAGGATTGATGAAGAATGCCATGCTGGCTCATATAAGACTGAAAAGAACTCGAAAAATATTCTTTGGCATTATCGCTTCTTAATGTCTGGACAGAAGTATTAAATTGAGTTTTAACTTCAGCACAAAAGGCACAAAAATGAGAAAACAACTCAGAACGATTTTTCATTAAATAAAGCCAAGTTACACGAGAGTTGTCATCAACAAAGGTAACAAAATATTTAAATCCAGCTTTAGACATAATAGAACACGGACCCCAAACATCTGAATGAACTAATTCAAAAGGGACACTAGCCCGTTTATTGACTCTTGGACTTGAAGAAAGACGATGGTGTTTGGCAAATTGACATGCCTCACAATCTAATGAAGATAATTTATTAAACTGAGGACATAGTTTCTTTAACAATGGTAAAGAAAGATGTCCTAACCGACAATGCGTCTTAAAAGGGGTTGAAATACTGGAACATGCAATAGTTCTGTGCACCTGTGTATCAAGGATGTAAAGCCCTCCAAATTCATTTCCTTTACCAATAATCTGCCTCGTCGTAAGATCCTGAAACAAGCAATGATCTGAGAAAAATGAGATGCAACATTTAAGAGTACGAGTGAGTTTACTCATAGAAATTAAATTAAAAGAGAACTGTGGTAGACTCAATACAGAGGATAGGGAAATTAACGGAATAGGGTTAACAGACCCAGACCCAAGAACACAAGAAATTGACCTATCAGCTAAAGTAACATTAGACGAGGAATTATGTGACTGATATGATGAAAAGAGACTAGGATTACCTATCATATGATCTGTGGCACTAGAATCAATGACCTATTTGGAGGATGAGGAAATAAGACATGTATTTGGTTTATCTGACTCGGCGAGAGTAGTGATGGAAGTAGATGAGGACTTCAATGATTCTTGATACTGAGAAAACTTGGCAAACTCATCAGCTGAAATCATAAACTTCTTTTCAGAAATATCAGTAGCGGCAACATGAGCTGATTGAGGTTTCTGGGCCTTATTTTGCAACTTTTTGCACGTGCGCTTTGTATGAACGGGTTCATGACAATAGTAGCACACAATCCCTCCTGACTCCTGACTCTAATTCTCACGATAATTCGAACCCCCTCCTCTATTATTGCTCCAGTTATATGAACGTCCGGTGTCATGATTCTGACTTACAAGAGCACTACTCGATTGAATAGATGGAGTACTTTCTATACGAAGAACCCTAGTAAATATGTCTTGAAAGGAGGTGATCTGAGAACTAGCAAGAACCAGAGATTTAGTAGATTCAAACTCAGAAGGGAGTCCAGCTAGGAAACTCATAATCGCCATTTTCTCTCGTTGAGCTTGTTGAACTTTCACATCAACACTCACCGATAGAAGAATGTTAAGTTCTTCATATATCCTTTTAAAATCCATAAAATAGGCCATAAGAGACCTATCTTGTTTCTCAGCTCGATAAAAAGCTTTGCATACATCAAAAATACGAGAAACATTCCCTTTCCTAGAATATAAAAAATCTAGATAGTCGATCAATTCCTTCACATATTCACAATGATTAATTAAACCAAGTACCTCACTGTTGATGGAGTTCCGTATCTGCAAGAACCAACCAGACATCCTCTGTCAACCATGTTTGCTTTGAATCGTCTTTAGACGAATCTTTGGTGAGATGATCATCTTTACCAATGCTTCGCAGATAAAGACGAATTGTCTTACTCCAATCAAAATAGTTATCAAACCCATTAAGCTTATGTTTCGTAATTTTTGACATTACAGGAACCATATCAATTATAGACTTATCAGTCATGGTAAGAAGACGAAAATAGCCAACAAAAACTCTTCAAAGAACGAACTCTATACCAACAGCAACCAACAAAACTGATACCAACAGAAACCAACAAAAATGTTCTGACCTAGCTGAGATACTGAGGAACTAATCACACAGAATTGCTGGAAATAACAAGACAAAGCCGGGAAGGGTGATCGAAGTTCAGGGAATGGTCGATCGGTAGAAGAGGTTACTTCCTAGCCAGGCGGTGAGAAAAAACGGCCACTCTCCAGGGTGACTCACAAATAATGCTCACTTGGGCAGAAAAGAAAAAAAAAACGAATTGAAAAAAAATAACCTAGAATTGCTCTGATACCATGTTACAAACAGAGAATTGATTGTAATATTTTTCATATTGTATTGACAAATTATACATCAATATATATAGGAAAATAAAGAACTAATCTAGGAAATAAATAATCTAATCTAGGAAACAAATATTCTAACTTCCTATTTTACAGATTTGTTCATAATATGTATTGATTACAATCCTAATATTCTATTATAGATTTATACACTTAATCATGCAATATCTGTAAGATTTTGTATGATTATCTATAACAGCTTCGAAGATAGATAATTTACTACGTATTAATTCAACAACCAAAATCTACTTTATCTTTGAATTGAAATTCTAACAAAAGAAAAAGCAAAACAGGGTTCTCTGCTATACAATACCAAAATATTTTAAGTAAATTATGATAATAAAATATGATTGATATTGTAAGAAATTTAAATCAATTTTATAAGCAAGCAAAATTTCTATAGAGATTGTCCAAGTCTTACACTATAAATTAAATCATGCATATTTTTCATATTTATTATTATTATTATTATTATTTTTGCTAATTATTTTCTTTAACATCATACCTTCCATATCATGTTCTTTCAAATAAATAATTAGTAATATACTTCCATTTTACTAACTTTGATTAGTTTATTCATAGCACATGTATTACATAGATTCACACATATTTAAAATTATTCAAAATTTTATCTAAAACATATTTCAAATTTTGAAGATCCAAATTAAAATAAAGTAATGTGATAGAGGGAGATTGCCCTGCCGATGAACAAGCCTGTTTTCGTAATTCCAAGCCGCCAAAGCAAGTCCACTATATAAAAGTTGCCAGTCGCCCAGAGATTGTTATCACTCAACAATAAGTTGACTAGTTTTACATGTAGAGTTGACCATACAATCAAACGAATATCCACCAAACTCAAGAGTCAAGACCATTGCATGTAGAGTTGGCAACATGCAATGAGTGATGTTGTTCATTCTGCTTTAGATTTTGAATGAAACGATATCTTTTTTCAATATTAATATTAGTTTTTATTTCCTTGGTTTGTAATGATGTGTATTTGATTTTGAAGATTGTTGGATTAGTTTGTTTTACAGTCTAAATAAGAAATTTTTGTGGAGCATTTAAATGTGGCTTGATGAAGATTCATAGTCTTTGTAGGTTCAATGTACTTCTAGTGGAAATGTTTATGTTATATGCTTTACTTGTTTAAGCTTCAATAATTTTGTTATTGAAGTTAATTGATGAAGTTTTTACCTGCTTATAAGCAAATTTGTGGCATGTGTGTGTCATTTTTTCCATCCAATTTGACGATGGAAGGCAATGGTTATAAATGGGTCCTTAAAGAAATGTTTTCCAGTTACAATGAGTGATCTCCAAGTCATGTGTCTGGCTTTGGATTATAATGTAACAACCTTGTGTCAGCGTTTAGAGAAATATAGCTTGGTTTAGACTAGCACTACCTTGTAAAAACGCTTGGTAAAATAAAAGGATCATATATGTTTTGTTTAACATCTCATGTATGTCTTTATTTTTAGGCAAGGGTTTCTGTTCCCTTTGTTTTTTCTGCATAACATAAAATAACTGATCCATCTTCTACTTTGTAGGGGCTCTTGTAAATGCTTTAGAAGCTATTGCTTTGGGTGCACCTGTGGGCATTCAGTACGTGGAATAAGGGTAGATAAAAAATTTGCGCCTTTTACAGTTATTATGGAAACAGAAGTCACAGTTGAGGTCAAAATGGGGTCACTCATAGTTCCTTAAACAACACCTTTCTTCATTGTCAGGTACACAAAGCCCCTACATTTTCTACAAGTGGCTTGCCTGTTTCCTTATAAAACTTTCTGAATTTTGCTTTTCTCCCAAAATAGAAAGTAAAACTTTAATATAATGGATAAAGTTGGGTGGGGAATTCATTTCAAAAATTTGTTTTAACTGTCCAAATCTCAACTGTGACTTTGTTTCAAAATTGTGGAGACAGAATGTGTCAAGATAATTTTGGATTAAATGTATTTAACCGTAAATAACTTGTAGATGTAATTGTTTATTGGTTTTAATAAAATTAAGTTTTTTTACAAAATGTGTATTGATCATGTCTATTTCTTATTGGATACAGGTATATGAAAAATACCTTTGATTGGTCTCCTTTAATATCACTGTTCACTGTAAGTACATGACTTCTTTCAGTTTTCCCTGCTGTACTATAACTAAGAAATTGTAGTTGGAAGTCTATTGAATTAAACTTCATGTCCTGTATATAATGTTGCACATAGATTGCAGATATAAAATGTCACAAATGTTATTGAAAGAAGTTTTCGCTCAATTTCTTTTATATTATAATTACTCTCCAATATAAATATGTGCACAGTGGCAACAAGTTAGCTGCATTTGAATTTTGTCAGACTTCATTTGTGTTATCCTATTATATATTACTGCTTTTTTATCTTGCGTACTGGCAGTTTGTTCCCGCTGCTTCGGTATATGGTTCATCATGGGAAGATTGGCGACGTATATTTGCGCATACGAAGTAAGCCTTCTCTCAATTTTTGGTGGTTTATTCTCTATATTTAGGCATTAATTCATGCAGTATATGTTTCATTTGTTGACAAGGATATATAATTGCACAATAATTACTAGATTTAGGATGCATGCAAGGTTGTGATGTGTTTGTACCAAATCTTGCGGTGAAATCATAATTGAGTTTCCCTCAATTTTGTTCATGGAGTCTGCATGTTGGCCTCAACCGTTATTTGGAGTGTGTTTCCATATACATCCATCAAACTGACGAGAAGTAAACATTGACAGTAGTAGGATTTTTGTTTTGTTTTAGCTTTGTTTCTGTTTTCTCTCATGCTTTATTGGAACAAGAACTTTATTGTATTTTTCTTAAACTTAATAGAGCTCAACAAAAGAATGAAATTAGTGAACTGAAGTTGTGATACAACTTTTACTTGCTGATGTGAAATTTGAATCTATTTACTCTTTAGGCCAAATGGATCTGTCTGCCAGTGCATGGAGCTGTTATTGGAGCTTGGTTTGGCGCTTGGCCAATGCCGCTTGATTGGGAGAGGCCATGGCAGGTAAGTTGTCATTTCCCCCGTTTACTTCATACAACAGGCTGAAACTGAAAGTAGTTTGTAAGTTTCTTATCTTATTTCTCTATAATTTGTTATGAAACGGACATTTTATATGTAAACTTATATCCTCAATCTTGTTTCAATTTTAAATCTCAATTGTATTTTCTTCAGTGAGCTGTTGGGGCACAATTTGCTTGAAATTTTGATAGAGAAGTTCAACTTCAAATTATGGTGTTGTCTCTTCTCTTCTTTTTTGGTTCTCTCTTAGGTTATGTGTATAGTTTTGGGGCGAAAGTTGATGCTCCACGAAGTCATTTTTAACTGACTGCTCAGAGGTTATTTATTATTAACTTGGTGGCAGTTAATCGGTTATATGGTCATTAAGATTGACAAATTGCATCTTGAACATTTTAGGGCTTATGTGAACCCCAAACCTAGTCTGCTGACTTCATGTCTAGGCATGGTGTTCTATCAGTTTGTTACCAACTCTTATAAATTAATGAATAATTGGTGAAGATTTTTTTTAAAAAAATTCTGACTATCTGGTTGTGCTTCTTCTGGATTTTGTATAATATAGGGATAAGCATTTCAGAAATTTTAACTTATCTTGTATCTAGGTTTGTCATATATCTAATGATGTTTATATCTGTCAAGCATTTGCTCAACTTGGCTGGTTTTAAAGCTGGATTGTGGTTCCTTGACTGGATGAATGTGTTGTTTGAGCTGCTTGTTTTCTATTTAGGCTTGAATGATCTCATTTTCAATTCACAGGAATGGCCGATTTGTGTGAGTTATGGAGCCTTGGCAGAGTATCTGATCGGAATGGTGGCATCTCTTGGCTTTGTACTCATTCGTGGAAGACAACATCATCAAAAAGGAGACTAGCTGTCAAGTAATTATCAATTAATAGTCGAGTCAAGTATGTGTTCTTGGAAATAGAGCTGCTTTTGTTTTTCACTCAAGTATGATTTGTTTTAGTGCCTAGGGCTTAGTCTTTTGGTGCATTCTTGCTGGGGCTTATAGTTAACCGAATGCAAAGATAAAAATTGAAAAATCTATTTATTCTTGTTTGTGCTATGCAAAATGAGCTTTCATTTACATGAAGCGCTTCTCGTTTTGCATTGGATTATTTGAAAATTAGGTGTTCTTAACGAGTAATTGAAAATTGAGAAATTGAGCGAAAGCTTTAGAATCCAGAATTCCCTCACATTTATTATTTGAGCAGTTAGATTTTTCATTTGTTTGATAAAATTGAAATGGGGCGATTGGAGAGTGATATAAAAGAGGATATTTACTTCAAAGGGATAATTAAACACCTCAAGGTTTGCCCGAAAACCAATAAATCGCCTCAGGTATCGATGTTAACTTACAAGCCTCTGCCGTCAATACTTTTCCGATATACAAAGTGTTCAATAATACATGATGATAGTTCGATGGCTGCGTGATGGTCTTTGACAATGCTTAATAAATTGATGGATGAAAACAAGAATATAACTCAAATAAATTGATAGAATAATGTGACAATATGCATATTGTTTTGAAAAGATATGTGAAACATTTGGCTATAATCCTAGAATTCAATGTAAAATCTAAAGTATATTTATGTTTTCATCTTAATATGTTTAAAATTATTTGTAATTCATGTTTATCTAAGCCATAAGAAGTTTGTACAAGATATCTAACATTTCTTTTGATTGAAAATAAAACAGAAAAGTTGGAAAAATCAGATTCCTTTTAACCGCAAGTTTAGAATTTTATTTCAATAAACATTCCTTTCTTTTCTTGATTACGTACCAGGCATGCTCCATTTGATACCTTTCTTCATCTATTCTTCATTGAATCATTTATTTTTTTCTTTCTAAATTTTGTACATCAATCCATCATAAGAAAGTATTGTGACCATCCAGCATGATTGATATTAAAGTCATAAAAATTACAAATAATAATATCCATCTATACCATGATTGATACTAAAAAATGACCATTGGAGAGCTTCCTTCATCTTTTAATTTGTTATATGTAATTAAGCTCAATAATTAGCAGGCATTTTTTAAATTTTGTTTGCTCTAATTTCACTTCTTAAAAAGAATTAATAACATTTACTTAATTAACTATTTCTTCTTGCCTTCAACAAGCTTCTTGACGCGTCTATCTTTCACAATATTTAAATATCAGAGCTACAGCTAGATAGTTCAGGTACAATATCTTTAATTTCTTTAGAAAAGATTTTGTTATTACGTTTTTTTTTTACCCTATGGTAAAGAGAGACATAATATGATCCTTGTTATTATTATTATTATTATTTTTATTATTACTTGTAAGTATATTACTTGAATTCTATTGTTTGTCTCTGCTAAATCTCGATATAATATTTTGTGTCTTTTTTTTTTTTTTTAGGTAAGTAAATATTCATAAAAAGAAAAGAATATACAAGGGTTATATTAAAAACAAAACCTACAATAGAACAAACCCTAGTTAGGCTCAAAAGAATCAAGTAGTCACAAGAACTACTAACTAATTGCTCAGCAAAGCAACTAATCATAAAAAACAGAGAAGCACACCTCAAGTTAATACAAACACCTATGAACCACCCCAAGTATCATGAAGGGACATTAATACCCCTAGTTTTGAGACCCTTATTTTAATTTCTAAACATCAATGTTAACTTTCAAAGGATATATATAGGGTTTATTTTATGTACAACCTTGTGAGATCAGTTAGTATAAAACTCATCCACTTTGCTCAAAAGGTATTAAAAACACCCATGTTGTTAGTGATGTACTAGGGTTCCATCCAATTTTAAATTCAAAAGTCTCTTTTTTTCCTGCTATCATTTTACCAACTTAAAACACTTCCTTTTTTGTTCCACATTTTTTTTTATAAATAATTTAAAATTATTAAAATACTAGAATAGTTTCCCCACAATTTATTATTAATTTAAAAAAATTAATCTCAATTGTTTTGGAGGAAAAGATTAGTACCAAAAAATCATTATTTTCATTTTGTCTTGATTAAAATTATTTTAAGGTTTATTATAATTTTCAAGCCTCTGTTTATCTCATAATATAGGTTTCAAAACATTTGCTTCAATTTTTTTTTTTTTAAATAAACATTAATCTTTACATATTTTTTTAATTCATTTATCTTCACCAAATTCATTTTTAATTTGAATTTTTTATTATTTAATTAAATGTTTGTTTAGATTTATTTAGATGAATGTATTAATTAATCCAGGATAATATTCCATTCTAAAGAGTTGTGTATAATTACTCTTTTTTACAATACGTATATTGTATCATTCCTTTCATTTCTTGATTACAAAGCATGCTCCATTTGATACCTTTCTTCATCTATTCTTCATTGAATTCTTTTTTTTCGTTATTTTTATTTGGTTTTCCTTGCATTTGCAAAGACTGATATCTTTCTACAATAACTTGGTTTCACTTCTTCCAAACAATTAACTTTGTTGCCATCAATCCATTTTCATGCATATATTTGAAGATTGAAGCTGCATATCTATTACTTTTGCTACAATTCCTCTAATTTCTTTCAATCATTCATTTATTTTTACTTTGAACGCGCATCATATTACATTCTAAAGAGTTGTGTTAACTTCTCCTTTGTTTTTTCGTTTGTGAAGAGTTACATATTTATTGTTTTTCTTTTTCCTAATTTTCTTTCTAAATTTTGTACATCAATCCATCATAAGAAAGTACTGTAACCATCTAGCATGATTGAGGTTTAAACCATCAAAATTACAAATAATAATATCCATCTAAGCCATGATTTGTTGAGTTGTACAAGACTATATTAAGATGTAAATCTAAAAAATAGGAAATTAATTTATTGTGAAGAAATTGATAATTGGATGAACTCTGTGTGATTTTCATTAGACTCAAATTGTTATAAATAATACAATGAATCAAATCAGAAAACAATAACTATCTCCTATATCTCAACAATAGTCAAGCTGACCTATTCTTAAGGAATACTAATAGAAAATATTCTTAGAATTACATTCAAAAATCAAATGCAGTTTGAACTGCTAAAGCTGTTATACACCAGCAATTGTAATAGCTTCTATATGCCCCCTCAAGATAGGCCACAAGTAGAGAGGCCAATCTTGTCCCGTAACAGCAGGAACTGAGAAATAGGTAGTGGCTTGGTGAGAAGATCGGCAAGCTGATTAGCAGAGCAGACATGAGCTACTCGAAGTAGACCAGATTGAACTTGATCTCTGATAAAATGATAATCAACAGCAACATGTTTCATGCAAGAGTGAAAGATAGGATTGGAACTTAATTGGGTGGCACCAACATTATCACAATAGACAACTAGAGAATTTGTTAAGCCAATACCAAGTTCTGAAAGAAGAGAACAAATCTAGCGAGGTTCAGCAGCAGTGGTAGCAATAGAATGATACTCTGCTTCTGTGGGTGAACGAGCAACAGTTTGTTGCTTCTTCGAACTCTAAGAGACAAGGTTCCGCCCAAGGTAAACAAGATAGGCATTGGTGGAAGAATAATCGTCTTTATTACCAGCCCAATCCACATCTGAAAAGGCATGAAGAGAATCAGAGAAGCCATGAAGAGTGAAGGGAGAAGCACGATAAAGAAGCAGCCCCTTGTCTAGTGTACCACATAAATAGCGTAAAATACGCTTAACAAGAACCCAATGCTCACTGGTAGGTTGATGCATAAATTGGGCCATTTTGTTGACTGCAAAATAGATGTCGGGTCGAGTTAAGGAGAGATACTATAGGCTACCAATTGTTGCACGATATGGAGTGGGGTCTGAGATAGGTGTGCCTTAGGTTAAGGAGATGGTTGTTGAGTTTGTTGGTATGGGAGTGAGAACAGGTTTTGCATCATCCATATTGGTTCGTTTGAGTAAGTCCTGAATGTATCTTCTTTGGGAGAGTAGAAGGCCAAGACGGTAAGGGACAACTTCAACTCCAAGAAAATAAGAAAGTGAACCAAGATCTTTAGAGAGAAACGTTGAGCAAGACATTCAACAAACTGTGAAACAAGAGCATCATTGTTGCCAGTTAAGATAATATCATCAACATACATGAAAAGATACAATATATGATTGATGTTGTGAAGAACAAAAAGAGAGGTATCTAAGTGTGAATTCTTGAAACCAGAAGCTAACAAAAACTGATGTAGTTCATGATACCAAGCCCGGGGAGCTTGTTTGAGACCATAGATGGCTTTATGAAGTTTATAGACATATGAGGGATGATCTGAGTCCACAAAACCTAGGGGTTGAGCCATAAATACATTTTCAGAGAGCCTGCCTTGAAGAAAGGCATTATTGACATCCAATTAGCGGAGAGACCAACCATTACTTACTGCGATACTAAGCACAAGTCTCACTGTGGTGGGCTTGACAACTGGACTGAAGGTTTCATGGTAGTCCACACCCGGTCTTTGATGAAAGCCCTTGGCTACAAGGCAAGCTTTGAACCTGTCAATAGAACCATCAGAATGTCATTTAATATGGAAAATCCATTTGCAACCAACTAGATTTGAAATGCCATTAGGGGGAACTAGTTCCCAAGTTCTATTACGAACAAGTGCATCATACTCTTCAGACATAGCTTGACGCCAATTGTGGTCTCTAAGAGCTTGTGATATAGATGTAGGAGCGGTATTTTGGGAAGTTGGTTTGTGGGTGTGAAGGTTGAGTTTCTGAATTGGTTTGGTGATGTTATTCTTGGCTCAGGTAGTCATGGGGTGTTGAGTGGTAGGTGGGACTGTGATGTGTGGTTCGACAGTTGGATAGGAAGGTTGAGGAGATGGTTGGTGGGCAGGAGTAGCTTGCTGTGGGGATGGTGCAACTTGTTGGGAAGTAGCCTCGGGCAGAGTCAATCCTTGAGAGCTAGTTGTAGATGGAGTGGTGGCTACCTGCTGGGATGATGTGGGA